CGGAAAAAATCTGCAGATGTTCTGGGTGTGTATAACCTCTTGGTACTTCCCTAGAATGCATGCCGACACTCACTAATGCTTTTTCCAATGCTGAATGTAGTGTTATTGCAGACATGAGCTAAATCCATAGTCAATGTAAATTACAACCGCATCGTCTAAGCCAGTGCGTTTCTCCCCTCTGCAGCCTGAGCACCTGTGCTGTATATATCAATATTTTGATTGATTTAATGCAGAAGCTCTTGGTCTATATGATTGCTACTTCAGTGTGGTATGACAAACACATTGGTGCTAGATCACAGATAGCCAAGTGACGTCGCTTCTCTTGAAGTCCCCTTTATTTTTCCCTTTCAATACTTGAAGGGGGCATATAAGAAAAATGGGGACAGACTTTTTATCAGGGCCTGTAGCAACAGGACAGGGAGAAATAGTTTAAACTAAAAGAGGGGAGACTTAGACTAGATGTAAGGAAGAAACTTTTTGCAAGGAGGGTGGTAAAACCCTGGCCCAGGTTGCCCAGAGAAGTTGTAGAAGCCCCATCCCTGGAAACATTCAAGGTCAGGTTGGATGGAGCTCTGAGCAACCTGATCTGGTTGAAGATGTTCCTGCAGGGGGTTGGACAAGATAAGCTTGAAAGGTCCCTTCCAACCCAAACCATTTCATGAGTCTATGATCTTCTCCTGCCTAGGGCAATGTGCAATAGTCACAGGACAATGACACTAAGGAGATATGACCTATATGTTGCTTTGCTGAAGTGTCGGTGGCTACACCATCCATCTTGCAATAGCGATGGCAGAGCTGCTCAGCAGGAGTGTGGAAATATCTTGACATGCCCAAGTGAAGCACATGTGCTGCCATCATGCTCTGCTGCCTCAGAGTCTCGTGGCCATGTGCAGGAAGGCTTAGATGAAAAGGGCTTGGTTTAGTACAGTTCCTGGGCTAGCTTTGGATGACCTGTCTTGGACCACCTGGTCAGGTGGCATCAGCTCAGTGGAGGCAACTTCTGCTGTTGGCATCTGACAGTCTGCTTATTGTCTGCAGAACTGTGATTATTAAATGTTCATGCTGTGCTAGTGCCAAAAGGGTGAGAGAAGCCATGGGCTAGTGTAAGCCACATACCCAGGAGATACTTGTGAGGTAGAGGGACACATGGTTCAGAACTCTGGGCACATACTTGCATGATATGTGTTGGAAATAGGTGACAAATGCATTCCAATGTAGGAAACACTTGTTTTATTACTATGACACTCCAATAATTTTATCCCCTGAATGAACAAGTGGCAGTATTGCATACCTCTGCTCTTAAGTATGATGACACTGATTTTTCTCTCTCGTTTGAAGCTGTAGCTGATGAAGCTGGGTACTATTTCTTCAACGGGAACTACAAAGTTGACAGTCCGAAGAACTTCAACATTGCAGGCACGGTGTTCAAGTACCGCAGGCCCATGGATGTTTATGAGACCGGCATAGAGTATATTGTTGCACAAGGACCAACAAATCAAGGGTTGAATATAATGGTGTGCTTTGACTTCTCAAGTTTGTAAGGCTGGGGGTGATGGGGAAGGGAAACTCTATGTTGGATCAACAAAGGGGTGGGTGTGGGAGCAGAGTCCTGTCACGGTTTCCCAGCTTTCCTGGGCAGCTGGAGGAGGGAACGGGAGCAGCGACTGTGCCCAGTTCTTTGCATGAACTTGTTATTTGTGTCAGTGCTCTCGGATGCAGGCAGGGCTGTGAATAATGAACGTGGGCTTGGTAACCCCTCTCTGCAGGGAGAAGGTGCCTCAGGCACTGTGGGGGAATTCCTCTTCTACACCTTGGCATTTTTATCCAGGTTACCTGTCAGGAGAAGTAAAAATAAGAAACTGGGACAAGTAGCTTAGAGAAGTGCACAAAACTTAAACCCCAACTCTTTCTTGAAAGCAAATAATCTAAAACCAGGTGTATGAAGAAAAGTAATTAATTTTTCTTCCAGGCAGCCAGCCAGAGCCCCATTCCTGCCATCTTCCATATAGCCCTGGGCTCCTCTGGAAAGGGATGGCTGCTTGGGCGCTTGTAAAGTGTTGAACCAGTAAAAGATGTTGTGAGTCCCCGTCCCCAGTGGGGATGTAGTAGCTGAAGGGGTGTGTATGCATGCTCCTCATTCCCCGTAAAGCCACAAAAAATGGGTTTGCAAGTGATGGTCAGTAACTTCTGAAGTGGCTCAGCAGCAGAGGAGAGAGCGTGACCTGCAGCTCCCAGTTTCTGAGCTGGGGCTAATCCCCAGGGCAGCGCTGCCAAATAACCCTTGGAAAATCGTGCTAAGCTCCAGTTGTAAGAAGTTGGCAATATGATGGGAAGCAGATTGGAAATAGCAAAGTAGATGCTTACCAACTGTCAAGTCCAAGATGAATCACAAGCTTTATGTGCCATATACTCACTGCATCCGCTAATAATTTAATTTGTTTTCTAGGTCTGGAATCAAAATGGCAAGAATCCATCCATCACATTTGAATACACCCTCCTGAGGAAGCCCCACTCAAAAAATCTGCAGCCCATCTACTACACCTTCTCTGAGTCAGATAGTGAAGAAAGCAGAGAGTTTGATGGAGACGTGCCATTGGGTTTTATCCAGCACAATGCAACGTATTTTGGGAAAATCTCCAGGGAAAGGATAGACTTGGAGAACCAGGTGTTTGGAAGGCAGGACACGGAGGAAGATTTAAACTTGAGCAAAGGTCAGGAAACCAATGAGGTCTATGAAAGAGCAGAAACAATTGACTGTGAGCCAAAACTGAAGGGCAAACAACCCCAAGGTAAGGAAGAGACTTGGGCCTCACTGTTCTGCTTCTCAGAGCTCTTGTTGAGAAACGCTCTGTTTCTACCTCTGGTGATTCCGCTGGTTTGTTTTTGGAAACCTTGGAAAGTTCTTTAAAACATCTCTGCTCATAAATCCTCTTTGCCCTTCAGGTTCTGGTTTCTGGTGGGTGGGGGTGGCCATGGGTAAGGTCTCTCCGCCGGTGCCCTGCTGTGCTTTGCCTCATGCCAAGGACAAGGAGGGAGCCCTGGGTGTGCAGAGTTCTCCATCGTAACATCTTCCATCACCTCCCACCTCTGCCCAGCCCCCCCAACCGCATTCCCACTCCAGTCCCTCTGGGCATCCCACCACCAAACTGGCTTGAGTGCTTTCCCAGCATGGCTGCATGGGCTCTGCGGCCAGGACAGCATCTTCCTTTCTGACCTCTGCTATTGCTTGGGGCAGTGCTGGCAGGTGCTGAGCTCTTCTCTGGCCATGTGATAGCAGGATGAGTCCCACAGAGCTGCACACCCTTCCCAAAGGGTCACCACCCCATAAGATTCCCCCTCCCCAAGACCCCAACTCCTGTCTCTAGCTTCCCGGGTGGCTGCTCAAGCTCTGGCGTGTCCCCACTGCTCCAAGCTGCTTTCACTTCCCAGCCTGAATGTATTTTTTGGTTGTCACTGTTGTTTCCCCCTGTTGGCTCCAATCTAGATTCAAACGTAACCAGGTCTACTTACCAGACAGACCATGACGACAGAGACTTGGACGCCAGGTTCACTTCCAGGGAATTCCTTTCGGAGAACGCCATCACAGACAAGCTGCTGGACAAGACCTCGGACTCCAAGGAGTTGGTGCTCAACATGACCATGAACAGCATCTTTGCCCAGGGAGACCCCATCAACTCTGTGGGGTCACACATTGACAGCATCTATGTTGACTACGAGGACACTGATGGCGTTGTGACCTACACCATTAATAGCACGTACATGGAGCTGAGCAACGGCAAAGCCATCAACACATCTGCAGAGATGCCATTTTCAAATGCCACTGTCACCATGACCAGCCCTCAAGGGAACAGAACCCACAAAGCAAGGTAGGAGACACGTCTTTCACTATAGTCAATCCTGTTTGTTGCTATTCTTGACTCATAATAGCCCTGTACTCAGTGCAGACCCAATTGCATGGTTTCTATCTGCTATGGAAGTCAGAAGGTAAGTGGGGGTAGGATGTTGTATGTGAAAGCTTTCTGTTGGGGGTTAATTTTGAAAGAAGGGCCAGAGGTTTGGGAGCAGAAGGTCAAGAGAGCATTTAAGCAAGAGGAGAACTCACTGCCTTCCTTAGAGGGGAAGTTGGCAAGTCCATGCTGATGGCTGTCAGCTTGTGTATTGTTCTCTACTTGCCATAGCTCATTACCAGAGCCATGGCCATAAATAAGCCTCTTCCTTTTGTCCTCTCTTGACACCATGCTCTGATTCCCCAGATCCCTTCCTCCACATTCTGATGCAGCAGAAGTTGGTTCTAGCCCCTTTTTTACCCACCCTTTTAACTTCCATCCACCTTCCTCCTCACTTGTGTGGGCAGGAACGTGCTCCTAGGCATGGCCCTGCCAGCTTAACCACTGCTGGAGAGGCAGAGCAGGACAGCAGGAGCTCTTCTGCAGGGCCTGCAGAAATGACCTGGATTTGCTGCCTTGGTGGATGTGGAAGCAGTGCAATTAGTCACCGCTTTGAGAAGAATATCAAAAGCTCTCCAGGGGCAGCTCATTGGTTGATATTAGGGCCATCACTTCAAGATTCCTTGAATGGCCTTGAATGGCTGGTTTGGAGTGACAGGGTTATAAAATGTAATGGGAAGGAGAAGGTTAAAAAAAAAAAAAAAAAAAAAAAAAGGCTTAATCTATCTTTAGGAGCAAAATTCTTCCAGGCCGGGTGAAAGTGGGTCTCAGGATAGTGCTTGTCCACAAGTGTGTGTCTAGAGTCTTTTGGGGTGCTCTGGGTCTCCCTGGGGAGTGGCCACAAATTAAAGCAGTCTGTGAATAGCTGGGGCTGAAATCAGAGTCTTGGGAGTCACCCAGGTCCCAGACCCACAGCTATGGATTTGAGTCCTGCTGTGCACCGCCATGGCTTGTTGGGTGTCTACAGCACCCAAACCTCACCTGGGCATCTCCTCCTGGCTCTGCTGCTGTGACTGTTCTGTCTCCCAGTCTTCACCACCAGTAAAATATGGGTTATGATGCTGAGCTTCAGAAGATGTAAAGCACTGAGCAGATGCTCTCTGGTTATAGTTAGCTGTATTTACCCAGAACTTGTACTAGCTTATGCTAAAGCAACTTATGCTAAAGAAAATGTCTGTGCAGCCAAATGTATCAACAAACTTCTTAATGACAAGAATGTTAAAACATCGCCAAGGGCTTGAGTCTATGATCTCTTCTCCTGCCCTGGCTTGGAAATTTTGCCTTCAGCTGCCAAAGCAGGCATTTTGTTAGCACTCTGAGAGGTGAGGACATCAGCTCTCTTTCTTTACTGTGACAAGGGGGCAAGGAGAGGGCTGCCCTGCCCCTTGGGACTCCCCTGGTCCCCACCATGCGCCATGAGTGGCCTTGCCTGTCACTCTATACCCCCATCTCTCTCGCAGGGGCTATTAACAGGGTCTAATGCTTTCCGGACTCCTGGGAATACAGGGACCTTGACACGCTTTAAACTCAGAGCAGCTTGGCTGTTACAGGACAATCACAAAAGACTGTCAGGGTCTCCAGTGCAGTTTTTTGTGGTGCTGGAAAGCTCCTTGCACTATCCCTGGCTACCTTTCTCTTGAAGACACAGGGCAGGGATTTTAACCCCTTCAGCAAGGGCACCCAGAATGGCCTTTTTTTCCTTCCCCCCATTCTTCCCTTGGTTGTTCTACAGTGTTCCCTCTTACCCCTCTCACTCTAGAAGAAAATATGAACTTTTCAGATCTAAGCATTAATATCCAAAAAAAGATGTTTAGTTCAAAAGGCTGCATCCAGGTCCAGCTAGGGCTGTGGTCTGGGCTGAGGGATGCTCAGCTTCTCCTTGGCTGGGCTCACGGGGCTTTGGGTGAGTGGCAAATTGAAGCAGATGTGGGGCAGCTGG